CTACTCTTTGCTCATAATTTGATTTCAAACCCACCCATGGCCAAATCAGAATGAAAGAACCGGCAAATTGGCTGGAAAACGCCGTCGAAACTCAGCGGCGCCACCATAGGATATTTCGATTTTTGCCTCCAATGAAGTCCTTTCTGATTCCCGTTCGATGTGATTTTTCCACCATTGTGATAACTGTTTCCTCCTCTACAGGTTGACTAGAGCAAAACACCCAACCACAACGTGAGTCAGAGGAGCTGCCGCACCGGAGAGCCCCACTGCCGGTGAGTTTTGGTTTTCTATATTTTTTCGGCCCATCGAGGGCCCTAAGTGTGTTTTCTCATAAGAACCGATGTAAGTTTGGCAGAATTTGGCCGAAAATAGCCAACCCGAGGCAGATAGCCGCTGCATCGCCGGAGCACGGCGGAGTCGCCGTGCCAGGATTCTGAAATTGGCCGAGTAGGCCCTGAGTCTGATTTTTGGGTTATTTAGGACATGTGTAGGTACCGTAAGCGCATTTTAGTTCCTGAGAAAAAATTCAGGGAACCTAGGGACCGCCCGTAGGCGCAATAACCATTAGTTTTCGACGTCGAATTAGGTAAGAACCCCTCACCCTATTTCCTATCATGAAATTAAAGTTGAAATAAATAATAATACGGTTCTTTGTACAAATTTAATGGATGTGATAGATTAATTAGGGATTGCTAATAGAGCCCAAGTCGGACATTATTTTCTGTCGATTATTGTTGATTTATGGTACAGTCTAAAAACATGATGATATATGGTTTATATATTGTATGGTTTAAATGCATGTATTACTGTCCTACTTTACTACTGTTCGATTTTGGAAATCTAAGATATGATTGCATTGTTGGATGTATGTTACTTATTTATGTATTTATGTTTGATTTGGTGAGGGAGACTAAGGACAAACAGGAATGAGATGTGATCTGATAAATGGATAAAGTGACAGCCTCACTAGATATCCTGGCAGATGGTGGACGGACCGGATTCATAGGGAACCCTACTGTAAATGTTGTCTCATACCGTACGGGGTATGGAGACTTGGTCATTTGGCGCTCATACCGGACGGGGTATGGGGACGGCCTGCTTCACCTTCATACCGGACAGGGTATTGAGGTTTAATGTCTTGACGCTCATACCGGACGGAGTATTGAGGTTTAATATCTTGGCGCTCATACCGGACGAGGTATGGGGACCGCCATGGAATTAAGATTGTTAAGGAAAAAAGTTCATGTGTAGCGGGGACACCTCTATGGATCCCCATGGATACTAGTAGGCTGGTGAAACGAGAAATGGTGATGATTAGTTATTGTTAATAAATATGAATTTATGATATGTTTTATGTTACTGATTGTGCATGAAGTTATGATATATATGATATTTTTGTCTTTATAGGTTATTTTCACATATTTCCCAATGGTAAGTAAAAGGGTAAATGGTTTTACTTTTAATGAATGTATTGGTTTAAATCTACTGCTCCATTGGTTGTTTTGATTTTCTACCTACCTTTATTTCTGTGACGGTGATATAGTGTGATGTCCTTACTGGGCTAGTGTAACTCATTTCTTATTTAACCATTTCAGATCAGGAGGACCTAGTTCCCGAGTCCGATCCACAAGAAGACTGCGAGTAGATACTAGATGCTTTATAGTTTCTTTAATTTTTCTCATTTCTCGTATTTCTTTCAGAGAACTTATTCCGTGATATTGTTTAGTACTTTTAAGTTATTGTGTAAGGGATGTTAACCTTAATTTTTTATTTTACTTTCGCACTCATATTATTATATGTATTTCCTTTGAATTTCTGGGGCCGTTACATGTTCGGAATCAAATTTCGAGCAGGTAAATGAAATTTTTACCTTTTTTGGCGGTCGACGGTGGCAGGCAGCGATTGACCTCCTTCTTCGATGCCTAGTTCTTCTTCTCCAGCGGGAGCTAACGGCTAGGGTTTGAGTTTCCTTGTGACGCGAAGTATTTATACCCATCCCGCGTCTATCTGGACCGTTAATCACGATTGATATCGTCCGTCTAATCGCGCCTAATGAGAGAACGAATCTGGTATGTTCATCACGATTGATCTTATCCGTTCGATTGCAACTAATGAGTTAATGAATCTGACCCGTCTATGTGCACAGGATCGATCCTGGACTGTCCGATCATTGGGTATGTGGATCACCCACGTAATGCCGATGTCAGTGTATCTTGTCACGCGGCGTGCTCCGGTTTGTCAAGGCTGCTAACTGGGTCATCCTACATGGCTGAATTTTTTATTTTTACACTTTAACCCATTGTTTCTAATTTTTCTTTCAAAAACACCATCTGAACTCAAATTTTTATTTTTTTCCAAAATTATTTTCGATTACATCCATAACCTATTTTTTTTTCAATAATTTAATAAAATAAAATAAAATTAATTTATAAATAATATTTTCATTTATTTTTAAATTATCAAAATTGATGCCGGACCATTTTTCGAACCTGAATATTACATATTTGCTATAAAAATTTTAATATTATTCAATAAATATCGAAAAATAATGGTATATATTACTTTAATAATTAATTTTCCGTACTTGTAATTTAATAATTATGTTTAATTAATGATTTAAAAAAAGATATTGAAATTTAATGAAAGAAATAC